GCAAGAGCAGCCAAAAGGCGTGCGGTCTGAACGTAGCATAGCTATGTTGAGATCGCATGCAGCAAGAGCAGCCAAAAGGCGTGCGGTCTGAACGTAGCATAGCTATGTTGAGACCGCAAGCAGCATGAGCAGCCAAAATGCGTGCGGTCTGAACGTAGCGAAACTATGTGAGATTGCAAGCAGCAAGAGCAGCCAAAAGGCGTGCGGTCTGAACGTAGCATAACTATGTTGAGACCCGAGCAGTATGAGCAGCCAAAACGCGTGCGGTCTGAACGTAGCATAACTATGTTGAGACCGCAAGCAGCATGAGCAGCCAAAACGCGTGCGGTCTGAACGTAGCATAGCTATGTTGAGACCGCAAGCAGCATGAGCAGCCAAAACGCATGCAGTCTGAACGTAGCATAACTATGTTGAGACCCAAGCAGTATGAGCAGCCAAAACGCGTGCGGTCTGAACGTAGCATAACTATGTTGAGACCGCAAGCAGCATGACCAGCCAAAATGCGTGCGGTCTGAACGTAGCAAAACTATGTTGAGACCGCAAGCAGCATGAGCAGCCAAAACGCGTGCCGTCTGAACGTAGCAAAACTATGTTGCGACCGCAAGCAGCAAGAGCAGCCAAAAGGCGTGCGGTCTGAACGTAGCATAACTATGTTGAGACTCGAGCAGCATGAGCAGCCAAAACGCGTGCGGTCTGAACGTAGCATAACTATGTTGAGACCGCAAGCAGCAAGAGCAGCCAAAACGCGTGCGGTCTGAACGTAGCATAACTATGTTGAGACCGCAAGCAGCTTGAGCAGCCAAAACGCGTGCGGTCTGAATGTAGGATAACTATGTTGAGACCGCAAGCAGCAAGAGCAGCCAAAACACGTGCCATGCGAAGTTGTGCTACGTTCAGACCGCAAGCAGGTCGTTTTTTTGGGACATTTTGCTTCGCCTTGATGCGTGTCAACCATTGACTTAGCTTGTAAACTAGCTGCTCCTGCTGCCTCTGCTGCTTTAGGTGTGAACGTAGGATAAGACACAGCCCTTCCTCATTTGCATAATGAGGCAGAAATGCATACAGAAATGTAAAAACGACAGGCAGAAACAAACAGTGTGGAAGAAATAAATAGGGTAAAAAAATAAAAAGGAAGAATTAAACATACAAAAATATTAGATAGCTAAATATAGTATAGCTGGTCCTCCATATTTGTGGAAGTAATCAGTGGTGTCTAGTAACGAAGTACCAATACTTCATTACTGTACTTAAGTACACTTTTCACGTAGCTATACACTACTCCATTACTTATTTTTTTTCCTACTTCTGACTTCTACTCATTACATTTTCACACAAGTACCTGTACTTTCTATTCCTTACATTTTTAAAACAAATGCTAAAATATTCAGACACCCATGGCAATGCATATAGTTCAAAGAAATAAGNATGAGCAGCCAAAACGCGTGCGGTCTGAACGTAGCATAACTATGTTGAGACCGCAAGCAGCAAGAGCAGCCAAAACGCGTGCGGTCTGAACGTAGCATAACTATGTTGAGACCGCAAGCAGCTTGAGCAGCCAAAACGCGTGCGGTCTGAATGTAGGATAACTATGTTGAGACCGCAAGCAGCAAGAGCAGCCAAAACACGTGCCATGCGAAGTTGTGCTACGTTCAGACCGCAAGCAGGTCGTTTTTTTGGGACATTTTGCTTCGCCTTGATGCGTGTCAACCATTGACTTAGCTTGTAAACTAGCTGCTCCTGCTGCCTCTGCTGCTTTAGGTGTGAACGTAGGATAAGACACAGCCCTTCCTCATTTGCATAATGAGGCAGAAATGCATACAGAAATGTAAAAACGACAGGCAGAAACAAACAGTGTGGAAGAAATAAATAGGGTAAAAAAATAAAAAGGAAGAATTAAACATACAAAAATATTAGATAGCTTAATATAGTATAGCTGGTCCTCCATATTTGTGGAAGTAATCAGTGGTGTCTAGTAACGAAGTACCAATACTTCATTACTGTACTTAAGTACACTTTTCACGTAGCTATACACTACTCCATTACTTATTTTTTTTCCTACTTCTGACTTCTACTCATTACATTTTCACACAAGTACCTGTACTTTCTATTCCTTACATTTTTAAAACAAATGCTAAAATATTCAGACACCCATGGCAATGCATATAGTTCAAAGAAATAAGAAACTGCAAATTCAATGGGCTCATTTGGCAACAATTGGCATTAAAATTCATTAAATGTGATTACCATGGCATTTAAAATGCTTTATATAAAAAAAAATGTGTCAAATATATCAGATTTAAAATACATGACTGGAAGTTTTCCACAATCTTGGGTTTAAAAGTGTTTCCAACTGTGAGACTATTAATAGATGAGGAGAAATCTATCTTCTTCACCTGTTTACATCCATAAAGTACATCCATGTCTCTTGTATAGACAGTCACTATAACAGAAGTTCTTCATACATTGTTGGTGTTTTCAATAAGTCAGCGAAAATCAGTTTTTTTCTGTAATCTTTATGTAAATCTTTATGATTTTTATTAATGATAAAAATGTTTGTATCCTGTACATAAATATAGTCTGCATTGTCACCATAGATGTGAGAAACAAGCCATCATCCATATATGATGCTTATTTTCTGTTTTTAGTAAAGTCTTTGCTGTAAAGGTATTTTTTTTTTTTCATTAAATCAACTGTTTGACTTTGTAAATCGATTACATTGTGTATTCTTTGTCTTCAATTATTTTGGCTCCAAAATTAAGTAGTTGATTAAATTAAATGCAGGCAACCTGTACTAGTTCTAGGCACATTGCATGCTTTGAGTTGTTTGCACATAGCAGCTGATCTAAAAAGTTATTTTAAATTGTTAATCATGGGGTCGATACTTGTTGCTGTGGGTTTGCTGACCTCTTCATAAGAAGAAAAAAAGTTTCATTCCTCAAATTAAAATTCTTTAAAACCTGCTATTCACAATGATATTGACTATTTTACTAAATGTTATTTGTAAAGCTTTAAAAAAAAAACAGGACAAAGGTTATACAAAATTGTGTGTTATAAAACCAAGCAGACAAAAAAACAGGGAAGGGAATAAAAAACACACCACAGTAGGTTATTCAGAATAGAGAATACAAAATAACAAATAATTACAAATAAGTAACAACAGAAAGTGAGAAAAATGCTATGTGATTTGCTCAAACAAGTGAACAGTTTAATGGCAGCATTTTGCACAAGTTTCAGGTAAAGTTACATAACTCTCAATGCCTTTGACTTCATGCATGCATTCTACAAGCCTGGGCAGGTGGCAGCGTTACTTTCTCTGAATGCTGAACATCGCTTTGCATATTTGATGCAACAAATCTAAAATATTGTAATCGCTTTTACTTGACATTATGTTGAGAACTTAAACCAAACTCTTGGGAATGTCAACTTTAAGGAGAACAGTCTCCTTGTGGGTTAAGGACTGGTTCGCCTCTGTTATTGAGTGCCTCCAGAGAACAGACAGCCCTTGTTATAAATGTGATGTAGCGTCTGTCTTAGCGTGGAGCCTGAGAGCAGCGTGCTGAGTCATTGTTATCTTTTAGAAAGCAAGAGCTTTAAAACCCTTTTAGGAAAAGGTAATGGTTCATCTTCTGGGGCTCTACATTTATAGGACACTGCAGGAAAATGATAAATAGAAACACAGATCAGTAATGTTTGCTAACATTCAGCTGTTGCACAAAGAAAACAAAATTATGAATATGCAATGAGGATCAACACCAAATTAAAATCCAACCATTGATAGAGATTAAGAAAGAAAAAGCAAGCAAGAAAAAAAAACAAACGGGACTGATTGAATACTATTTACCATGAAGAGGTCTTTCAATGTTTGCTGAAAACATGGTGACAATAAAAGGAAAGTAATAATTAAAAAAACGCTCTGCTCAGACTGAGCCAGGGTCTGCTCTATGTTTATTCCTGTTAGAGTGTTTTTTCTTTCATCTTTCACCACATGCAAGCTCAAATTCTCCAAAGTTAGCAATTTAATTGTGGGCGTTTGTCACCACATGGTTATTCGGGGGGCATGGACCGCTGGTTTTCCTTAGAGAATAAACCTTTTTCTATTTTGTATTATAAAATGAACTCGTTATTACTACTTTATTAGTGGTCTCTAACTATATGTAATTGACCTTGACCATTAACCTGTCTCTGTTGTCTTTATATTATTGTAGGCAGGAGATGTCTGTCTTTTAATGTGACTCAAGATGATTCATGTTGTATATCAATAAACTGAATTGAATTTCAGTTTATTCACCCTTTCTGGGTGTCGCATTTTCTCATCTAATATATTAGACTTCTAAAAAAGGCACAGAGCAAAAGTAAAGTAATCTAAAGCAGCATCTTTGCTCCTAAAGAGCAGCAAATCAATTGGAGAAAAAACTTTTTTGTTTTCCATTCTGGATTTATAACAGTCCTCTTCCTCATGTTGTGTTGGCTGATGAATAACTAAAGAGTTTCACGCTGCTTCTGGTAAGAAGGCAGTGTGACTCACAGTCATAACAGCACATGCTAAACGGAAAGTAGTCCCTTCCTTGAAGCCAAAATTTCCCCCCTGAACTTCCTCCGCCCCGCCTCCTTCCTCCTCCATCACTGACTCCACCTGATCAGCCAATCAGAGCGCAGAGGATGAGGCCGCAGCACCGCCCTTCCCCCCACCTCCCCATCCGCGACACGAACCCAATGAGCTTAGAGAAAGTGGGCCGTCTCTGCGTGGCCTTTTCTGCTTCAACTTGCTGCGTTCACTCGTGTTTCCTGGCTTCAACTCTCACGCAAAGAAAAACCTGAAAAGTATTTTTTTTTCTGTTACAAATCACACTGGACTAGAGTCAGGTATTATATCTACATCTTCAGTTAGATTCTAACTGAAGCCAGGGCGCAGACATTTTGTTTTACTATTACTTAGTCTAAGTTGGTTTGTGTGAGTTTGTGAAAGAGGGAAGAGGAGTCGGATTGGGTTTGTCTGCATGAGTTTTTGAGTTGGAAAAAGAGCAGAATGATCGCGGCTCAACTACTGGCCTATTACTTCACAGAGCTGAAGGATGACCAAGTTAAAAAGGTAAGCTTTAACGTGTCTTTCTGGGTATTTGACAGGTGGATACCGAGAGAAGAACACAATTTCCCTCCATTGTTGCTCTACATGTTTGCACTAGTTTAAAATGTAAGGGAAGAAAACAAACATGACTTTGTTAGGAGGCTGTTAAAACCTCACTAATGGTGAGACTTGGATCAGCGTGGCCGGGTGGGACGTGACTAACTGCACCGTTTGGGTAGTAGGATGTGTAAGGAGGTGAGTGACTGATGGCATGATGTAAGAGGAGTCAGGAAGTGAGGCTCGGGGATGAGGAGCTTGCTGTCTCTCTTCTTCTCTGCTCTCATTAAAGTTCACATTGATTCCCTCACTGGAGGTCAGCAGAATGAGAGCAGAAGAGGAGCTTTTTCTCCACATATAAATAATTCAGATCAATTCTCTTCTCTAGATGGATCAGCGGTTTCAGTAATGCCTCAGTGTGCTCTTCCCCACCAACACATTATCTTTTATTAGTTACCAAATATGATGCATTTGTAAACCTGCTATATATTTAGAAAGCATCTAACCCTGTTTTACACATTGTAACATTCAATTCATGGATAAGCTAAAAACTGCACATATTTGATCTGAATCTGAAACCTACAACTTATCACAGAATATTAAGTTTTAGTTTCTTCTAAACTTTAATCTGCATTTTTAGTTTACTCTTATCCTCTCTCAACTGAAAGTGATTAAAGTTCTTTAATCTCTAAGAATAACCAGTATGGCACAGATCCCCTGCCCCTCAAAATTCCCTTGTCAGACTTTGTAACCTTGAATGTTAGTGTATGAAAAAACATTCCCATGTAGACCCATGTGTGTCCTCCATGTCTTTCACCGTGTGTGTGTGTGTGTGTGTGTGTGTGTGTGTGTGTGTGTGTGAATCTATATGTGGGAAAATGGTCAGGAGCCATCCTACTACTGGTCTTGGAAGAGAAAGTGTATGTTGGAGCAGTGATCCTCTCCAACATGCAAAACAGTTCAATGCAAACATCTGGCTTTTTACCACTATTTCAAAACATTTTCAGAAAACATTTATTGATCCCAAATAAAAATGTGATAGTTTGTCTTTAAAATTAGTAAACCTTCTATTCTATAGTATTTGGAAAAACTACAAAACATTTTCATTAATAATTAAAGATCCATATTGTTACTGAACCGAGAGCTAGTCCTGCATGGTGTTAAACACACAGAAAAGGACAACTGGGATAGATGCCTTCTTAGTAAATTGGAACTATGATTTTAAAAAGTATTGATTAAAAAATAACTATCCCTAGTATTACCACTTTCATAAATTGCTGGTAAACTATGCATTTTAGTAAAGCTTCCATTTCTAAATGACAATATGACCCTTAAGATGTGACTCTTTTGGTCCGGATCTAATGTGGAATTAAAAAATTAAAGCTTCTCATAATCAAGACAGAGAAACATTTTGATCTTAGTTTACATCCATATTTCTACTAAACTAGTTGGTTTTCAGTAAATACCTCCACTTTGGAATGATATTAGATTCCGCCAGGTTTGACTCATTTTCACCCAGATCTGATGTTTGCAGATGAGATAATGATAGCAAAAGTTATAATTATAAGACCTCTGCTCAGACTGAGCCAGGGTCTGCTGTGGGTTTATTGCCAATGTTTTTTCTTTAATCTTGCACCAAATGCAAGCTCAGTTTAAGCGGATTCGCCAATCAAGACCAAGAACACAAGAAATAAAATAGCATAAAGATGAAGAGATTATTAAGTCTGATATGAAAAATAAGAAAAAGTACAGATATATTAAAATGACTGCTCTTATTGGGAAACATAATCTCGGGCATTACTACCATAATTCTTGGTGTTTGTGGGACCTAAAAACAGCTAGGGTTAACTGTGGTATGGTACTGAACAATGTAAAGATAATGCCATGCAATTGATGCTGATTTTCTTCATTTGTCTTTCTTTTTTTTGCCTTTGCAACCATTCTCATTAGCTTTAGCAATCCAATTCCAAAAGTTTATACCAGGTCAGACCATCATATGAAGATAAAAGCCACACGTTGATATTGCAGTTAGGCAGCTCTGTTTATATATTAGTTTTATTTTTATTGGAAGAAAATGTGAAAAATTCTTCAGCAGAGGTAAAGATAGGTTAGATGTTTAAGCTCGCCTTTGGTTTATAGAATGATGATGAGTGATTTATCTGCCAACCTTTTGTTAAATGACACATTATATCTTTATACCTTATGTCTTATATCTCCTTACTTTAGAACAGGGTAAAGATTGCATCTTTTATTCATTTAACCTGACAGAGTACTTTCATTTAGCTGTGACCAAAGAGGCTATAAATCCAACAGTATTTGAGGGAATAAATAGGTCATTCACATAAAAATATATGTCCCTACAGTTGTTTTATTCTGAATTGAGAGGTCATAGTATTTGCATTTAGAGACTGAAGTAAAGTTTAAAGCTTTTAATTTTGATAGTTTTATTAAACAGAGGAATAGGATTAGGGCCCTGAAAGCAGTCAGAAAATAAAAAGTCTTTTTTTTTTTTTTTTTTTTTTTTTTTTTTTTTTTTTTTTTTTTTTTTGGTCAAAGCTGGTTTTACAATATGTGTGTGTGTGTGTGTTTAGTGCAGATTGGGATCCAACAGTTCCTAGTTCTGCAAAAAGTCAGGGACCAAATCACATTGTGTGACCTTGAGAATGAAGTCATAATATGTCTTATTTCTCTGAGTACCTGGACTCTTGTATGGTCCCTTTAAGGTCTCCGAATAATGTCATTTTTCACCTCTCTGTTTTAGTGTTTATAATTGGGAAGAAGCCGTTGGATGTTCTTTGTTTGTTTTAGTTTCACACTTTCCCTGCAAAAGGACTCTTAAAGCCATGTTTCTTCACTTACTGATCCTGAGTCAGATCATGACCTGCAAAGGTGAAACTGCCCTCATCTGCAGCCAGTACCTGACGTAATACAACACCTCTCCCTCCCTTCTTTACTCTTGCTCTCTTCCTCTCCCCGCCTCCCTAAAATAGGCCAGCTTTGAACCATGTGACCACAGGTGCTGCAGAGGGCTTATGCCTGCACACAGCAATCTGCAGGTGTGTTGCTAGAGTTTGTCAGGGCCTTAGTCATGGAAATTATTGAAAACTTCCTCTTGCTCCAAAACTGTAAAATGTATACTTTGAACTTATTGTAACATTAAGCCAAAGTTAAAGCTTTTTTTCCTCCTCTCAGTCAGCTGCTTGTCTGCCGCGGTGTCCTTGACTGGCTTCCTGATTCGCTTCTAGTTCCCATTGAAAGCAGCATCTGCATGTGTCTGCATCTGTGAGAGTATGTGCTTGGGTGGGAATAAGGGAGTGTGCAGAAGGGGGCGGTGTAGCAGCCTGTATTTTTCCACATGGCGAGGCTGTGTGTGTGTTTGTGTGCACAATATTGTGGTGCACGCACACACACAGACAGACAAGTGGAGTTGCATTGAGTTTCCCTCAATCTCCTTGTGGAAAGAATAGGAATGCAAACAAAAGGAGGTGGGAGGAGAGTGTGAAGGCTCTCAGAGTTGTAAAGCAGGCTCTGGGTTGTCAGAGGTGAGTTGAGGGATAAATGTGACCTTTTCAGAAATCATGTATGCAGAGAGCAAAGACGAGAGCAAAACCTGGACAGTTAAACCACCAAGCAAAAGACTTATTCTCATAAAGTCATGTTTTGTATTAGCACCGTCTAACCAGATGATACGGTGCTTTAAAAAGAGCGTATGCATGATCACAAAATGCTGAGTCAGAAATGCTGCTGACTCAAAAATCAGGAACAGAGCTAGAGTGCTTTAAAAACATTTGCCCGCCTTACAGATTTCTTCAGCATTTTTGTTGTCTGTTTCTTTAAACACTGTTAAGCTCAGCTGATTTAGATCAAATATTTATTTTTCATTTCAAACAGCAATCACTTGAATTGATAAAGAATCTCAATATATTTGAGCATTTATTTTTCCCCACTAGAACAGAACGAGTCATACAACATTAAATAGGCTAAAAAATCTCAAAAGGAAAATATATTTTTAGCTTCTTAAGATCTGGAAGATGTCACACCTGGAGTAGTGCTAAACTTTCCCAGGGGTTTTACAAAAAAGTGACTTTTTTTGATCCAAAAACTTTAGGAAAGTGTCTGTGGACTAGTAAAACAAAAGGGTTAAATCTTTTGTAAGGTGTGCACCAAACTAGGGCAGTTTTACTGCTTCAGGGCCATTCTGGCTTGTAGAAATTGCTTAAACCTTAAATTCTGTTTTTTGCTTGAAAATCTTGAGGAGAGCTGTCAGGCAGCCAGATTGGACTTGAAAGCTGTTGGTGTGTGGGGTAAAAATCGACTTGGTGATATATCGTGACTTAGCTGCCGAATATAATATAGATCTTTCAGTTGCTAATATCGATTTAAAAAAAGAAAAAAAAAACGTTTTTGCCTAAAACATGATGGGGAACTGGGTTGCCTCTGCACCCCCACCCTGGCAGATAGAGCTGTGGAACCCTTTAGCTGTGCAGCGCAGCACCTTATCTGTAGTTGAGGAAGTCACAGTGGAAGACGTGGACTGACTCAAACCACATACAACATGGATACCAACATAATTGAATAATCAATCTAATGAACATATGCAGAACTTGCTTATTTGTTATCCATACATTTAATTTCGGTAGTTGGGTAAAATATCGCAATATATATTGATATTGCAATATTTTTGATAATATCGTATTGTTTCCTCAATACTGTGACACGTATCGTATCGCAACACCCACGCCAATAATCGCCCCCTAGTAATGAGTAGGACAATGATCAGAAGACAATCACCAAGTCTATCTATGATTGGCTGAAAGATTGAAGGTTTTGGAATGGTCTAGTCAAAGCCACAATCGTGAAAAGAAAAGTTTTTAGCTCTATTTAATCAAATTTTGATTATCTGAAATAGTCAAGTGTGCATAAAAAGCAAAAATAAAACATACCCCTTGATTACTCTTATTCCTGGT